GTCTGCCTCTGTTCAATAACTGCAGGCAAATGAAGAATTCCAAAATGGCCGCTATTTATAGCTCGACCATTACACAGTGCTGGCTGGCTGGCTGCTGATTGGCTGATGCGATCACATGTAGTTGAGGAATGCATTATGGGTCAGCGCGCCTTGTCTGCGCGCCTTCCCAGACATCCCCGCTCCGTCGCCGCACATGTCAGCCGCCATTTTCTGAAAAATTTCGATTCGCGCGTCCGAATTAGGCTATTGTTTTTTTCGGATTCGGCACGAATCGAAATTTTTCCGATATTCGACTCGAATTCCACTTCGGACACTTCGATTCGCTCATCTCTAATCATATCCCCCCTTATGTATTATACATGGAGATCATATCCCCCCCTTATGTATTATACATGGAGATCATATATCCCCCCTTATGTATTATACATGAGATCATATCCCCCCTTATGTATTATACATGGAGATCATATCCCCCTTATGTATTATACATGAAGATCTTATCCTTCCTTATGTATTATACATGGAGATCATATCCCCCCCTTATGTATTATACATGGAGATCATATTCCCCCCTTATGTATTATACATGGTGATCATATCCCCCCTTATGTATTATACATGGAGATCATATCCCCCTTATGTATTATACATGGAGATCATATCCCCCCTTATGTATTATACATGGAGATCATATCCCCCTTATGTATTATACATGGAGATCATATCCCCCCTTATGAATTATACATGGAGATCATATCCCCCCTTATGTATTATACATGGAGATCATATCCCCCTTATGTATTATACATGGAGATCATATCCCCCCTTATGTATTATACATGGAGATCATATCCCCCTTATGTGTTATACATGGAGATCATATCCCCCCTTATGTATTATACATGGGGATCATATCCCCCCTTATGTATTATACATGGAGATCATATCCCCCCTTATGTATTATACATGGAGATCATATCCCTCCTTATGTATTATACATGGAGATCATATCCCCCTTATGTATTATACATGGAGATCATATCCCCCCATATGTATTCTACATGGAGATCATATCCCCCCTTATGTATTATACATGGAGATCATATCCCCCCTTATGTATTATACATGGAGATCATATCCCCCTTATGTATTATACATGGAGATCATATCCCCCCATATGTATTCTACATGGAGATCATATCCCCCCTTATGTATTATACATGGAGATCATATCCCCCCTTATGTATTATACATGGAGATCATATCCCCCCTTATGTGTTATACATGGAGATCATATCCCCCCTTATGTATTATACATGGAGATCATATCCCCCCTTATTTATTATACATGGAGATCATATCCCCCTTATGTATTATACATGGAGATCATTTCCCCCCTTAATCTCCTCTTCTCAAGGGAGAATACATTCAGTTCCTTTAATCTTCCCTCATAGCTGATCTCCTCCGTGTTCTGGTAGGTAAATGGTGTCATTGTGATCTTTGCAGTAGATCTTGATGTCTTGACCTCAAGAGAGACCCCAGCAGTCAGCGTCTTCTTTTTAACCACCTCAATACCACTGTACAGAGCCTTGAAAAAATCTTCCTGCCCCTTGAAGTTTTCCAGAAGGAAAATTTACATTTTTGTCATGTTACAGCCAAAAACGTGAATGTATTTTATTGGATTGGATGTGACAGACCAACACAAAGTGGCACATAATTGTGAAGTGGAGGAAAATGACAAGTGTTTTTTTAAAAATATTCACAAATAAATATCTGAAAAGTGTGGCGGCATTTGTATTCAACCCCCTTTACTCTGATACCCCTAACTAAAATCTAGTGGAACCAATTGCCTTCAGAAGTCACCTAATTAGTAAATAGAGTCCCCCTGTGTGTCATGTGATCTCAGTATAAATCCAGCTGTTCTGTGAAGCCCTCAGAGGTTTGTTAGAGAACATTAGTGAACAAACATCATCATGAAGGCCAAGGAACACACCAGACAGATCAGGGATAAAGTTGTGGAGACGTTTAAAGCAGGGTTAGGTTATAAAAACATATCGCAAGCTTTGAGCATCTCACTTTGCACTGTTCAATCCATCATCCGAAAGTGGAAAGAGTACGGCACAACTGCCAACCTACCAAGACATGGCCGTCACGCAGTCTATCACATAAAAACACAATAAAATACATTTACGTTTTTGGTTGTAACCAGGGGCGGACTGACAACTCATGGGGCCCCCGGGCAATTGGGGACATGGGGCCCCTGTTACCTCTCCCACACCCAAAAAAGCCTATGAAAAAGCCAATGAAAGGTACCAGGGGCATCTCATGGGGCCCCATACTGAGCCCGGGCCCTCGGGCAGTGCCATTGAATGGTCATTCCTGGTTGTAACAGGACAAAATGCGGAAAATTTGAAGAGGTATGAATGTTTGGGTTCACTAAAATTCATTACAGTGTATTTTTTCCAAAAAAATTGTGTTTGGAAAAACACCACACATTTATCGTGTGACCAAAAAATGTCAGCACCTACCGTTTTATTCTTCTCTCTCTCTGTTTTTAAAAATATATAATGTTTGGGGGTTCTAAATAATTCCAAAAATGCTGATTTTTACATCAGTGTCAGATATCGTCTGTTGGAGAATATTAATCATCTCCTGATATCATTGTATATTGCTACGTCTATTTAATGGATTTTCATGTGGGCAGCACAGTGGCTAGATGGTTAGCACTTCCCCCTGGCAGTACTAGGTTGTTGGTTCGTATCCCAACCACGGCACCACCTGCCTGGAGTTTGCACGCTCTCCCTGTGCCTGTGTGGGTTTCCTCCGGGTACTCCAAATTTCCTCCCACACTCCAAAGACATGCTGGTAGGTTAATTGGCTCCTGTCTAAATTGGCCCTAATATGTGTATGTATGAATGTGAGTTAGGGACCTTAGATTGTACGCCCCTAGAGGGTGAGAGACCTTAGATTGTACGCCCCTAGAGGGTGAGGGACCTTAGACTGTATGCACCTTGGGGGTTAGGGACCTTAGATTGTACGCCCTTTGAGGGTTAGGGACCTTGGATTGTACGCCCCCTGAGGGTGAGGGACCTTAGATTGTACGCCCCTTGAGGGTTAGGGACCTTAGATTGTACACCCCTTGAGGGTGAGGGACCTTAGATTGTACACCCTCTGAGGGTTAGGGACCTTAGATTGTTCGCCCCTTCAGGGTTAGGGACCTTAGATTGTACGCCCCTTGAGGGTTAGGGACCTTAGATGTTCGCCCCTTGAGGGTTAGGGACCTTAGTTTGTACGCCCCTTGGGGTTGAGGGACCTTAGATTGTACGCCCCTTGAGGGTTAGGGACCTTAGATTGTATGCCCCTTGAGGGTTAGGGACCTTAGATTGTTCGCCCTTTGAGGGTTAGGGATCTTAGATTGTACACCCTTGAGGGTTAGGGACCTTAGATTGTATGCCTCTTGAGGGTGAGGGACCTTAGATTGTACGCCCCTTGAGGGTTAGGGACCTTAGATTGTACACCCCTCTTGAGGATTAGGGACCTTAGATTGTATGCCTCTTGAGGGTGAGGGACCTTAGATTGTACGCCCCTTCAGGGTTAGGGACCTTAGATTGTACGCCCCTTGAGGGTTAGGGACCTTAGATTGTACACCCCTCTTGAGGATTAGGGACCTTAGATTGTATGCCCCTTGAGGGTTAGGGACCTTAGATTGTACGCCTCTTGACGGTTAGGGACCTTAGATTGTACGCCCCTTGAGGGTTCTTAGTGACCTTAGATTGTACGCCCCTTGAGGGTTAGTGACCTTAGATTGTACACCCCTTGAGGGTTACGGATCTTAGATTGTATGCCCCTTGAGGGTTAGGGACCTTAGATTGTACACCCCCTTGAGGGTTAGGGACCTTAGATTGTACACCCCTTGAGGGTTAGGGACCTTAGATTGTACACCCCTTGAGGGTTACGGATCTTAGATTGTATGCCTCTTGAGGGTGAGGGACCTTAGATTGTACGCCCCTTGAGGGTTAGGGACCTTAGATTGTACACCCCTCTTGAGGATTAGGGACCTTAGATTGTATGCCTCTTGAGGGTGAGGGACCTTAGATTGTACGCCCCTTCAGGGTTAGGGACCTTAGATTGTACGCCCCTTGAGGGTTAGGGACCTTAGATTGTACACCCCTCTTGAGGATTAGGGACCTTAGATTGTATGCCCTTGAGGGTTAGGGACCTTAGATTGTACGCCTCTTGACGGTTAGGGACCTTAGATTGTACGCCCCTTGAGGGTTAGTGACCTTAGATTGTACGCCCCTTGAGGGTTAGTGACCTTAGATTGTACACCCCTTGAGGGTTACGGATCTTAGATTGTATGCCCCTTGAGGGTTAGGGACCCTAGATTGTACACCCCTTGAGGGTTAGGGACTGATGTGAATGTGCAATATATATGTAAAAGTGCTGTGTAAATTAACGGTGCTATATAAGTGCCTATACTGTATATAGAAAAATCATTTGACCACCATCTGGAAGAAAGGGTACTTCCTCTATTGAAATGCTAATTAACTTGTTGGACTAGTAAAGGCTAGTTAAACAGGAAGTGATGTTGGCAGGAAGTGAGACAACACAGCCATGTGCTGGAGCACACAGAGCGTTGGAGACTGGAAGAGAAAGGAGCAGTGATGGCCTAGATTTTGAAGCACGTATCAACCATCAGAATTTACTGAAGTCCCTAATCCTAAATGAAAGTTGAACTAATCTTTTCTCAAGCAACAAGAGCTGTTTTTAATCCTTGTGCTGATAGCATTCATAAACAGACAGGAGGGTGTATCATATTTACTCATTTTATTTATTTTTACATTTCTTCATTGTCTTCCTGGTTTCTGGCCTAGGCCAAAATGATGTCATACAACATTCTATGGTTGAACTGGATGGACTTTTCTCTTTTTTTCAGCCAGACTAACTATGTAACTATGTATACATCCTAGGAGTCTTCATTGGAGGAGGGGGCTTTCTCAGCTACACACAGGGGCGGACTGACCATTTGGAAACTCAGGCACTGCCCGAGGGCCCAGGGTCAGTAGGGGGTCCCATGAGACGCCCCTGGTACCTTTTTCATAGGCTTTTTTAGCCCCATGATCCCCTATTGCCCGGGGGCGCCATGAGTTGTCAGTCCGCCCCTGACTACACATACCTCCTGCCTTAGCTAAGGGCAGATGGATTCCAGGACGTAAATGCTACATAAATCATCCGCCCTTACTCAAGATGGCCGTGACTAGAAATGCTAGGTGGGGTTCAAAGAGATTTATCAACAAAATAAAACATGCAGACACGGATGGGTGGAGGAATTTGCTTTTACTGCTCAAGAACACTGGGGGGGGCGTTTTAATAACACCGGTAACGTTAGCTGTGTAAAGTCACGTTAAAAACATGAGTTTTTCAGCGGGTTTTTTTAGCTTTTTTTGTATTAGCGTTTATCGGATTTTTTGCGTTTTTCGTTTTTGCATTTTTTAGAGGGTTTTTTTTTGGTCAAAAAAAGTAAAAAACGCTGGTTAGCCGCGATTGACCACATCTTGCTGCGTTTTTTCAGCATTAGAGCATTTTTAAAGCTAAAGAACTCCTCTAGAAACCCGCTAGTTCTGGGTATTTTTCCAGCCAAAAAACGCCCCAGCCAAAAAACGTTGATTCCAGTCTCTGTGTGTATGGACACCGAGGATAACATGCTGGGGGGGTTTACTGGCTGTAGAAAAAAAACGTCAAAAGCCAAAAGCAGACGCTGTAAAAACATCCCGTGCAGGGGCGGACTGACCGTTTGGATACTAGGGCACTGCCCGAGGGCCCGGCTTTTTCAGTAGGGGGACCCCATGAGATGCCCCTGTACCTTTTTCATAAGGCTTTTTTGAGTTTGGGCAAGGACACAGGGGCCCCATGATCCCCTATTGCCGGGGGCCCCATGAGTTGTCAGTCAGCCCCTGGTCCCGTGTGCATGAGGACTGAATGTTAAAATGACATCAAATAGTGTTTTCAGTTTGCGGGGCTCAGATATTGTTTAGCAGTGGCGTTCCCTAGGCAGGTATGGGGGGGTGTGGCCCGCACCGAGTGACACCTACCGAACGGAGTGACAGCAGACCTGCTCCACGAAAAGGTAAGTTGTAAAGCAAGCCGACGACCCCCGCAGGATGGATTGGATCTGCGGATTGGGGAGCATAATGGATCGGACTTTGATCCATTATGCTCAATCCGCAGATCCGAACCATCCTGCGGGGATCGTCGGCATGCAACCTATACGGGGTGACACGGAGCCGCTCCACGAAAAGGTAAGCTGTAAACAGTGCGGACTGACCATTTGGAGACTCGGGCGCTGCCCAAGGGCCGGGGGGTCAGTAGGGGGCCCCATGAGATGCCCCTGGTACCTTTTTCATAGGCTTTTCATACCTCACCAACCTGATTCCCAAGTACCACCCTACCCGTACCCTTCGCTCTTCACAGGACCTCCTTCTATCTTGCTCCCTGGTCTCCTCCTCACACGCACGTCTGCAAGACTTCTCCAGGTCCTCCCCCATCCTCTGGAACTCACTACCCCAATCCATCAGACTGTCACCTTCCCTCCTCACCTTCAGGCGCTCCCTGAAAACCCACCTCTTCAGGGAAGCCTACCCCACCCTCACCTAACTGCTGCTCTCCTTCTTCCTCCTACCACTCCATCCCCCACAGCCACTTCCTCCTGTACCACTACCCCCTCCCTCCTAGATTGTAAGCTCGAAAGGGTAGGGCCCTCTTACCCCTCGTGTGCTGTTTGTTGTTGCTGTACTGTTTCATGTATTGTCCCCCCCCCCTCTATTGTACAGCGCTGAGCAAAACCCTTTGGCGCTATATAAACTCAATGTAATGTAATGCTTTTTTGAGTTTGGGCAAGGATACAGGGCCCCATGATCCCCTATTGCCCGGGGGCCCTATGAGTTGTCAGTCCGCCCCTGATTGTAAAGGAAGCCGGCGATCTGCCGAGGATGGATCGGATCTGCGGTTTGGGGAGCATAATGGATTGGAGTCCGATCCATTCTGCGGAGATCATCGGAGGAGGTGGTGTCACCAAGTGTTATCGCACCGGGTGACACCAACCTTAGGGACGCCCCTGTCATTTAGTTCAGCTTGAAGTAACAATTAGCTGCGTATATTATTGTTCTACGATTACACTTGGATATCGGTGAGGGTGATTGCTCGTGTATGATGTGTATGGATGTGATCACTGGTTTTTTGCTCTGTCCCTTTCTATACGTCTTTAACCCTTTCGCTTACAGCGGGGCGTTTTATATACAATCCAGTGGCTGCAGCCACTGGGATTGTGTCCAAAACTGGCAGGCAGAATCCATTGCTTCCACAGCCCCCTCCCCCATCCCCCGGTAACAGTGCCCCCAAGCCCCCCCCCTCCCACTATATATTCTGGGCTTCGCTTGCCCATCTGCGGACCCGGGGCCGACATGGCGGGTGCCGGTGTGTGGATGGGAGAGAGGACAGAGGTAACACATCTGCTCTCCTCCCCTTCTTGCTGCGATGTGGAAAGCGATATTTATGATGTCACTTCCTGGGAGGAATGTACTGAAATGCGATCTGCATTGCGATACATCCAGTGGAGCCCAGAGGTGATTTTTTTAGACCCTGGATGTCTCATTTAATCATTTTTAGCCACCATCTGGAAGAAAGGGCTCTTCCTCTATTCAAATGCTAATTAACTTGTTGGACTAGTAAAGGCTAGTTAAACAGGAAACTAAAATCATCCCAGAGAGGACTTTGTGTCCCCTATGTGATGGAAAAAAAAGGTTAAGTAAAGAATTTACTTTTTCAATAGCACACCCAAGCACATAATATCCCCTCCCCAACAAAATAGTTTTGAGGCACCCCCATGCCCACATATAGGCACGTATGAAAGTAAATGCACACGTCGGGGTAAACATACGTGAAAACGTCAATTGTGACACACATGTTACCAGGGGCGGACTGACCATTTGGAAACTTGGGCACTGCCCGAGGGCCCGGGGTCAGTAGGGGGCCCCATGAGATGCCCCTGGTACCTTTTTGCATAGGCTTTTTTGAGTTTGGGCAAGGACACAGGGGCCCCATGATCCCCTATTGCCCAGGGGCCCCATGAGTTTTCAGTCCGCCACCGCATGTTACATGTGTACGCCGGAGTGAGAACCATAGCACAAGTCCTCTGGCCGAGCTTTTTTTTTTTGCTGGCTGATGGCTAAAATGAGTGGGAAAGTTGGAGAGCGAACAATTTTTACTTTTGACTTCTAGTGATTGCCGGTGCTTGTAGCTGTTTTACTTTCTTCTTTGGGGTTTTGCTAAAAGCCATTACTTTTTTAAATCCCTCTTATGCAGGCCATAGATGGGTCGAAAATCGGCCGATTTTTCGGCCGAAAATCAAATTGGCCGATTTTCGGATCGTTAGTGGGCTATTTGTTCGGCCGTTTTTCGGTATTTTGGCCGTTTTTTTAAATCGGGAAAGTTGGAAAAAAATCGGCCGATCGGCCGATTTTCGCAGCAATAATGGGCTAATCGGCCGATTTTTTACCGATAAAAAATCTGCGCATGAGCAGTGACCTGCAAGAGGAAGACAAAAAGAAGAAAAAGAAGAAGAGGAAGAAGAAGAGGATGAAGAAGAAGAAGAGGATGATGATGATGAAGAAGTAGAAGAAGAAGAAGAGGATGATGATGACGAAGAAGAAGAGGATGATGATGAAGAAGAAAAAGAAGAAGAAGAAGAGGATGATGATGATGAAGAAGTAGTAGAAGAAGAAGAGGATGATGATGAAGAAGAAGTAGAAGAAGAAGAAGAAGAAGAAGAAGAGGATGATGATGATGATGATGAAAAAGAAGAAGAAGAAGAGGATGATGATGAAGAAGTAGAAGAAGAAGAAGAAGAGGATGATGATGATGATGAAGAAGAAGAAGAAGAAGAAGAAGAAGAGGATGATGATGAAGAAGAAAAAGAAGAAGAAGAAGAGGATGATGAAGAAGTAGAAGAAGAAGAAGAAGAAGAAGAGGATGATGATGATGAAAAAAGAAGAAGAAGAAGAGAGGAGGATGATGATGATGAAGAAGAAGAAGAAGAAGAGGATGATGATGAAGAAGAAAAAGAAGAAGTAGAAGAGGATGATGAAGAAGTAGAAGAAGAAGAAGAAGAAGAGGATGATGATGATGATGAAGAAGAAGAAGAAGAAGAAGAAGAAGAGGAGGAGGATGATGATGAAGAAGAAGAAGAGGATGATGATGAAGAAGAAGAAGAGGATGATGATGAAGAAGAAGTAGAAGAAGAAGAGGATGATGATGAAGAAGAAGTAGAAGAAGAAGAGGATGATGATGAAGAAGAAGTAGAAGAAGAAGAGGATGATGATGATGATGAAGAAGAAGAAGAAGAAGAAGAAGAGGAGATGATGATGAAGAAGAAGTAGAAGAAGAAGAAGAGGATGATGATGATGATGAAGAAGTAGAAGAAGAAGAGGATGATGATGAAGAAGTAGAAGAAGAGGATGATGATGAAGAAGAAGAAGTAGAAGATGATGATGATGAAGAAGTAGAAGAAGAAGAGGATGATGATGAAGAAGGAGAAGAAGAAGGATGAAAAATAAAAGGAATTCCAGTCCGGCAAAAAGTGTCTCTGCAGAGAGCTCTGCTATTTCTTTGACAGTTCCTTGACATTTACAGCGGTTGCAACATTGTATCTATTTGTTTCCGAATAAAAACATCTGTATCCTAAATGGATACAAATAGATACATTGTTGCAACCTCTGTAAATGTCAAGGAACTGTCAAAGAAATAGCAGAGCTCTCTGCAGGGACACTTTTTGCCGGCTGTAGACGGGATGAAAATCGGCCGATTTTTTTTACCATTGGTGGTAACGTCGGCCACTTGAACGACCGATTGTTCGTTTTTTTAAAAGAAAAATCGGCCGATTTTCGACCCATCTATGGCCTGCATTGCTGTCACTTTTAAAAAAATTTTTTTTTTCTTCCTTTCCTTGCCTTTCTAATTAAGGGGCGGGGTTAATTGGTCACAGGTGACACAGGTCCTATATACCTCGCTGTAGAGCTCACTCTGAGCGTGCTCATTCTTCAGCTTGCCTGTATTTGGCTTGCTGGACCTTTGACTAAATGGACATTGGATCAGTGGAGTTAAAAAACCAGAGTGGCTTACGGCCAAAGTTACAAAAGCTATAGATAATAAGAAAAGAGCTTTTATTAAATATAAAAACGTTACAAAGAATATAACAGAATGTGCAAAAAGGAAATAAAGGAGCAAAAATTGAAAACTAATGACAGATTGCAAAAGATATAAAAAGATAATATGCGAGCGCTATCCGGGGATCTCAAGAGGACAGCGGCTACAACACCAAAAAAGGTAATCAAGAAAGAACCTTCCAGTAAAGTACATATAAATATATATAAGGTGCAGCACTAAAATAGCATAAATGACATACATAACACATTATAAATAAAGTGCAAATATCAAATCACACTAAGGTGAGATTGAGTGGGATGAAAAGTCCCTAAATAAGGCCGAGCGTGGGGATCCGATAGATCCTAATAGGTGCGTGGGATAAAATTCAGTGTATCACACGGTGAGTCTGGGGTAAAAATTGCGCACTCACCAGAAGTGCGTCAAAAATACGCATGTAAGATTTATCCTGTAGTATCGGATAGCGATCATCAATTGCCAAGATAGAGACAGGGTCATACACCTTCCAATCGCAACTTGGGTTAGATACTCCAAAATTCATATACGTGTCTCAAGCGTGTCACCATCCAGGGTCCCCTTTTTGAGCAGATTCTGCAAGTGGGGACTCTCATTGAAGAGAGCCCAATAAGGGACACCACATAGCGTGATACCGTATACACTGAGTTTATTGAAGGTACAACATGAATTGTAGAGGTAAAAATCAAAATAAACACTGATCAGATATTACCCAGGATGGCCACCTGCGGTGGTCAGACATCCGGATACTGTAGCCCCCCCCCCGACGCGTTTCGTGCGGTGCACATTATCAAAGGGTCCTGGGCTTACATGCAGGGACATCAAAGAGCTGTTTATATTAGCTGAATTCATGTGGAAAAGGCCACAATATAAACGTTACAAAGAATAGAACAGAATATGCAAAAAGGAAATAAAGGCGCAAAAATTGAAAACTAATGACAGATTGCAAAAGATAGGAGGACCAACCCCCCAAAAATTCTTCTAATATATGAATAGTAGAAAGGTCCGGTCCGAGCATGTAGGCCCCTTACAGAACCATCTAGAGGGGGTGACTGGGGACAAAGAGAAGGCCAATGTAGGAAATCCCTTCTTCAGCTCTGTGTATACAAAGGAGCATGGGGGGTATCTTGTCCATAATGGGGGGTGGTACTGACACAGCTCCAGATGATTCACATTGGCTCACAATTGATATGATCTAAAAATTTTTAGACCGGATCTGGACCGGATGGCATACACCCACGGGTCCTTAAGGCTAGCTTTACACCTCCGCATTCCTGTGGGCCGTGATTTGTGCTGGCACGAGAGGCCATTCATTTGAAGGGACTCGCATGCCCCAGGACACGCAGGGAAGAAGTCCCTGCGCTTTTTTGGAAAACGCAGCCGAGGTTCCCAGTATGGTTGCCATTGCCATTGCAGGCGGTGTCCACATTCCTCTGTGTGGGTGGTGCGGCTGCAGGGATTTTAGTGCGGATCCGCAGTGGCACCACCCACACAGATGTGAACCGGGGGTTAAGAATTGAGCTCTGTCATTTCACAGCCATTGTTTCTCATTTTTAGGGCCTCTTTAATGACTGGCATAGTACCATTGGATTGGTGTAAGGCCAATGTGGGGCCAATATTTAAAAGGGGTCAAAATCTTTCCCAAGTAATTATAGATCTGTTAGTGTAACTTCTATAGTTGGGAAGATACTGGAGAGTTTAATAAAAGATCACAGAGAGGAGTTCTTGCTGAAAAAAAAAAACATTTTAAGCAACAGACAGCATGGAGTCATGAAAGACAGAAGTTGTCAAACAAATCTGATTTCTTTTTATGAGGAGGCGAGCAAAACCTTGGAAAGAGGGATGGCTGTGGACGTGGTATACTTGGACAGAGGGGTGGCGGTGGATGTTGTATGCTTGGACAGAGGGGGGGCTTTGGATGTGGTATACTTGGACAGAGGGGTGGCTGTGGATGTGGTATACTTGGACAGAGGGGTGGCGGTGGAATTTGTATGCTTGGACAGAGGGGGGCTGTGGATGTGGTATGCTTGGACAGAGGGGTGGCTGTGGATGCGGTATACTTGGACAGAGGGGTGGCGGTGGATGTTGTATGCTTGGACAGAGGGGGGGCTGTGGATGTGGTACACTTGGACAGAAGGGTGGCTGTGGATGTGGTATACTTGGACAGAGGGGTGGCGTTGGACCTGGTATACATGGACAGAGGGGTGGCGGTGGACGTGGTATACATGGACAGAGGGGTGGCGGTGGACGTGGTATACTTGGACAGAGGGGTGGCGGTGGACGTGGTATACTTGGACAGAGGGGGCTGTGGACGTGGTACACTTGGACAGAGGGGTGGCGGTGGACATGGTATACTTGGACAGAGGGGTGGCGGGGGACATGGTATACTTGGACAGAGGGGTGGCGGTGGATATTGTATGCTTGGACAGAGGGGGGGCTGTGGATGTGGTATACTTGGACAGAAGGGTGGCTGTGGATGTGGTATACTTGGACAGAGGGGTGGCGGTGGACCTGGTATACATGGACAGAGGGGTGGCGGTGGACATGGTATACTTGGACAGAGGGGTGGTGGTGGACGTGGTATACTTGGACAGAGGGGGCTGTGGACGTGGTACACTTGGACAGAGGGGTGGCGGTGGACATGGTATACTTGGACAGAGGGGTGGCGGGGGACATGGTATACTTGGACAGAGGGGTGGCGGTGGACTTGGTATACTTGGACAGAGGGTTGGCAATGGATGTGGTATACTTGGACAGAGGGGTGGCTGTCGACGTGGTATACTTGGACAGAGGGGTGGCGGTGGACATGGTATACTTGGACCGAGGGGGCTGTGGACGTGGTATACTTGGACAGAGGGGTGGCGGTGGACATGGTATACTTGGACAGAGGGGTGGCGGTGGACATGGTATACTTGGACAGAGGGGTGGCGGTGGACGTGGTATACTTGGACAGAGGAGTGGCGGTGGACATGGTATACTTGGACAGAGGGGTGGCGGGGGACATGGTATACTTGGACAGATGGGTGGCGGTGGATGTGGTATACTTGGAGAGAGGGGTGGCTGTCGACGTGGTATACTTGGAAAGATGGGTGGCGGTGGACGTGGTATACTTGGACAGAGGGGTGGCGGTGGACATGGTATACTTGGACAGAGGGGTGGCGGTGGACATGGTATACTTGGACAGAGGGGGCTGTGGATGTGGTATACTTGGACAGAGGGGTGGCGGTGGACATGGTATACTTGGACAGAGGGGGTGGCGGTGGACATGGTATACTTGGACAGAGGGGTGGCGGTGGACGTGGTATACTTGGACAGAGGAGTGGCGGTGGATGTGGTATACTTGGAGAGGGGTGGTGGCGTGGTATACGAGAGTGGCGGTGGACGTGGTATACTTGGAAGAGGGGTGGCGGTGGACGTGGTATACTTGGACAGAGGGGTGGCGGTGGACATGGTATACTTGGACAGAGGGGGCTGTGGATGTGGTATACTTGGACAGAGGGGTGGCGGTGGACGTGGTATACTTGGACAGAGGAGTGGCGGTGGATGTGGTATACTTGGACAGAGGGGAGGTGGTGGATGTGGTATACTTGGACAGAGGAGTGGCTGTGGATGTGGTATACTTGGATTTTGCAAAAGCATTTGACACAGTTCCCCCACACATAGCTAATGTGTAAGGTAAAGTCGACGGGCTGGAAAAATCTGTATGTAAATGGATAGAAAACTGGCTAAAAGATCGTATACAGAGAGTAGTGGGTAATGATTCATACTCTGAATGGTCTGGGGGTGTCAGTGGTGTACCCCAAGGTTCAGTGTTATTAGTGGGGTACCCCAGGGTTCAGTGTTGGGACACTTAGTTCTTAATATATTTATAAACAATTGCGCCGCCCATTTACGCAGCGCTTTACATATATATTGTACATTCACATCAGTCCCTAACCCCCAAGGGGCGTACAATCTAAGGTCCCTAACCCTCAAGGGGCGTACAATCTAAGGTCCCTGACCCTCAAGGGGTGTACAATCTAAGGTCCCTAACCCTCAAGGGGCGTACAACAATCTAAGGTCCCTGACCCTCAAGGGGTGTACAATCTAAGGTCCCTAACCCTCAAGGGGCGTACAATCTAAGGTCCCTAACCCTCAAGGGGCGTACAATCTAAGGTCCCTAACCCTCAAGGGGTGTACAATCTAAGGTCCCTAACTCACATTCATACATACACATACTAGGGACAATTTAGACAGGGGCCAATTCACATACCAGCATGTCTTTTGGAGTGTGGGAGGAAACCGGAGTTCCCAGAGGAAACCCACACAGGCACAGGGAGAACATGCAAACTCCAGGCAGGTGCTGCCCTGGTTGGGATTTGACCTGAGTACTGTGCTAACCTTTTAGCCACGGTGCTGCCCAAGAAATGCAAAAACGACTCTGGCAGTGAAAGGGTTAAAGTTATTGTAAACCCTTTTTTTTTTTAAACAACAAAAATGTTATACTTACCTGCTCTGTGTAATGGTTTTGCACAGAACGGCTCCTGCCCCCCCCCCCCCCCCTTCTGAGTGCCCACAGAGCCAGTTGCTTGCTTTGGAGGTGCTCCTGCCCCAGAGCCTCGCTCTGAATATCCATTGACACACAATGGTGGCTCGGCCCTGCCCCCTTTGAATGACAGCAGCAGGAGCCAATGGCACGTGGCATGCAGAAATCCTGCATACTTCTTCAAAACCATTCTTCAAAAACACACCTCCCCATTGAAATGAATGGAAGACGTATAAAAAATGTACCGTGGTTGCAATTTTGGTGTGCTTTTATGAGTCACGTGCAGGGGCGGACTGACCATTTGGGTGCTCGGGCACTGCCCAAGGGCCCGGGTTCAGTAGGGGGCCCCATGAGATTCCCGTGGTACCTTTCATAGGCTTTTTTGGGTGTGGCTTGAGTGTGGGCAAGGACACAGGGGCCTCATGATCCCCTATTGCCTGGGGGCCCCATGAGTTTTCAGTCTGCCCCTGGTCACATGTCCATGTTTCACAGATGCATGACTGGAGTAAGGCAACCAGAGAATGCACCAAAAACTCATCAAATACACATATGCTGTTTACCAGAACTTTTTCAACGGGGCAGTGTGAAAGGGTCCTTAGTCTTCACATGCAATTACCACAATGGTACCAGTCCTAGGCCACTGCAAAGAATCAGCCATGTCTACCACCTGGCGTACGCCAATGATAAGAAGTGTAACCTGCACCACTACTTGCTTTGTATAGCTGGATATACACACAGTTTTTTTTTTTCTCCTACCGGTGGGTTGAACTAAAAAAACTTACAGATCCCCACATCAACACAAGCAATGCTTAATGCAGGGATCTGTCCCTTTGAGGGGTGTCGCCCCCCTTGCAAGAATACACTGATCAGCACTTGCATCCATTGGCTGGCCACCTTTCTGTCCGTTTGACAGAAACCAGAAAACCAGTTTCAGCTTTGCTTTCCCTTTATATAGTTGTTTGGGCCAAGCTGGCCCATCCCTTAAAGTATACTGTACACCATTTCCTGATGAAGTTTCTACTAAAGATCCATGAAAACCACCCATTAATGGTAAGTTTTAACCTGTTCTTAGGATCAATAAACATTGACCTTCCTGAAGAACCCCTTTGGAAGCATCCTATTATTTAATGGCCAGTTTCCATTGACAACTCATTGGTTCCATTTTGGGTCCCCATCCCCTTCACAATTCAGATAGGTACACATCAGGGGTGGAGAGGTGGTGGTCTTTTTGCTCAATGGCATATTGTGAAAAGGGACCTTAGGCCTTTGACGAGAAGTCAAAATGGCTTCATGAAAAACTTTTCAATACTACTCTTTAAAGGATCTCTTGTAGCCTTTTATCCTTCTCTTTCTCCTTGCCCACTGCTCACCTGGAGAACCATTGATGGCCAAAGCCTTCATTATCCTCCAGATCCTCCAGCTGAAATCTTCTTGGAATTGGCCAAGCCAAGCTCAGTAGAAGCCTCATAGATAGTCCATCTAGATTGATTGCGTAAGCATGGCCAGGACATTATATTGGAAAATGATAGACAATTGGGTTTGCTTTTCACTTGTCATATTCAGCGACAACGGTTGACTTGACCAGCCAACTTCGAGATAGCTGAGAGAGTATATTCTTTGCCCACAAAACATTTGCATCTCTGAGCCGTGTGCCAAGAACAAAGCCGCGTGTTTAAAGAGTTTCACGAGAAGATGTTTATGAGCAGATCCTTATAAATCAAAGCTTTAATTTACCTCCTGTGACCACTGTAGTAAACATCTGTGAAGCAGCGGGCAATGCTTTGCATTAACAGTTGATGGTTGCTAAGTTAGCCGCGTTTCCAAGAAAGCTTTTTTTTTTTTTTTTCCCGTCCTTTATCTATATCTTCCCCAACCATCTTTGCAATGCAGTAATAGGAAGAATTTGTAGTATGTTCAAATTTCTGTGGCTGACAAAGAAAAAGCAATTTGTACACAACTGTTGTCTGGCACCTGCATGATGGAGGTCAGCACTTGTAATAACAGAACTTGCCTAACTCAACAATGTCCCCGGTAATATGATGGACCATTCCAAAATAGAGATAGGAGGAAGTCATTTGTAGTTAAGTACGGCGCTATAAATAGACATGGGGCCATATGTTTATATCTTCACCACTCACCTGGGTGCAGAGCAATGCCGCCGGCTCCACGGCCAGAAGGCCCCTTTCCAATAACTGCGGGGTCAAATACACTTGTGGCCGGATGATGTGATGAATACTACATGCGGTATGGTAAAAAAACAAAAACTTTACCGCCTCAGAAGACTCCTAGGATTACTGTGATGAAAGGGATTCTCATTCAGAAGAACCTAAGATATAGTAATTGGCATGATTTACAGGTAAAAGGGACAAGGACCCCGCTACAAACATACAAAGAACTATAAAACTTGAGCAATATGAGGCTTTCTCTCTCTGTTACCAAACTTAACAGCTACATTTTCCTTTCCTTCCTTCCTTCCTTCCTTCCTTCCTTCCTTCCTTCCTCCCTCCCTCCCTCCCTACATCCCTCCCTCCTTCCTTCCTTCCTTCCTTCCCTCCCTCCCTCCTTCCTCCCCTTCCTTCCTTCCTTCCTTCCTTCCTTCACTTCCCTTCATCTCCCTCCCTCCCTCCCTCCTTCCTTCCTTCCTTCCTTCCTTCCTTCCTTCCTTCCTTCCTTCCTTCCTACCTTCCTTCCTTCCCTCCCTTTCTTCCCTCATCCTTCCCATTAATCCTCCTTCCTTCCTTCCTTCCTTCCTTCCCTTCCTTTCCTTCCCTCCTTCCTTCCTCTTCCCTACTTCATTCCCTCCTTCCTTCCCTACCCTTCCTTCACTCCTTCCTTCCTTCCTTCCTTCCTTCCTTCCTTCCTTCCTTCCTTCCTTCTTCCTTCCCTTCCCTCCTTCCCTTCCTTCCTTCCTTCCTTCCTTCCTTCCCTCTTTCCTTCCCTCCTTCCTCCCTTAATCTTTCACTCTCTTTCTTTCTATCCTTTCTTTGTTTACAACCAATTTTCCCTTTTTTCCCCTGCATTTTCTTACTTTCTTCCATTTCCCTCCATCTTTTTTATTTTTCCTTCTATTCTTTGTTTCCATTCCTTTTCCTTGTTTTACTTAAATTTTTCATTGCAAATCCTTTTTCATCCCCTCCTTTGCTTTGTTCTTTCCCTCCTTCCAATCCATCCATCTTCCCTTTCCTTTCCCCCTTTCCTATCTAATTTTTCTTTTTTTTCCCATCTCCCCTTTCCTTTCCTTCCCTTCCCTTCCCCTTCCTTCCTTCCTTCCTTCCTTCCTTCCTTCCTTCCTTCCTTCCTTCCTTTTTCCTTCCTTCCTTCCTTCCTTCCCTTCCTTTCCTTTCTTCCTTCCTTCCTTTCTTTCCTTCCTTCCTTCCTTCCTCCTCTCCTTCTTCCTTTCTTCTTTAACTCCCTCCCTTTCCATTTCCTTTCCCTTTTTCCTTTCTCCTTTTTTTTTTTTTTCCTTTCTCCTTGTCCTTCTCCTTTCCTTTTTCTTTTCCTTCCCTTCTTCCTTCCTTCCTTTCTTTTGCTTTCTTCCTTTCTTCCTTCCTTCCTTCCTTCCTTTCCTTCCTTCCTTTCGCTCCTTCCTTTCCTTTTCTTTCCTCCCTCCCTTTCCACTTTTTCCTTTCTTCCTTTCTTTTTTTTCCTTTCCTTTTTCCTTGTTTTCCTTTCCCCTTTCCCCTCCTTTCCCTTTTTTTTTCCTTCCTATGCACATGATCCTTTCCTTTTTTTTCTTCCTTGCCTTTTTTCCTATTCCTTTCCTTCCTTCCTTTCCTTTTTCCTTTTTCCCTTCCTTCCTTCACTTCCTTCCTTCCTTTTTTCCTTCCTTCCTTCCTTCCTTCTTCCCTCCTTCCTTCCTTCCTTCCTTCCTTCCTTCCTTCCTCCTCCTCCTCCTTCCTTTCTTCTTTAACTCCCACCCTTTCCATTTCCTTTCCCTTTCCTTTCCTTTCCTTTCTCCTTTTCCCCTTTCCTTTCTCCTTCTCTATTTTGCCTATTTTGCCCTGTATTTTCTTACTTTCTTCCATTTCCCTTTCTTCTATTCTTTTTTCCATTCTTTTTTCTTGTTTTACTTTAATTTTTCATTGCAAATCCTTTTTCATCCCCTCCTTTGCCTTGTTCTTTCCCTCCTTCCATCCATCATCCCTGTCTTCCTCCTTTCCTTTCCTTTCCTTTCCTTTCCTTTTCTTTTCCATTTCCTTTCTTTTTATTTTCCTTTTCCCCTTTTCCTTCATCTTTCTCTATTTTCTTTCTATCTTTTATTTGTTTCCAT